TTTACAACTACAAACGATAAGACATTTGACAAAATCCGATGAGAATAACAAATATAATATCGAAACTAAATACATGGATTTTGGATAGGAAAATACCGTGACACGTCTTATAGGAATGCGAAGTCACACTCAGCAAAACAGTCACAATCGGGAATAAGTCACGTTCGGTACTTAAAAGATCAGACGAAGTAATGGCAAACCACAATCTAACACGTGGTAAAAATGTCCTTTGTTAGTTTGGACAAAGACACATCGTATATGAATCAACCATAAAATTTACGGAGTGTCATTTTTAATCTGTCCTCCTCAAAACTTTGTTGGAGCAGTTTCTGCGTTAGGAGCACACTCTTGTATATGAAGTCCGTATAGTGTGAACATTCACGAGCATAACGTTTCAACTGAGATATGTAAACACCATACGAAGGGGCAGCGGGTATGTTACTGCTGAGAAATGGGAAATTGATAATTGGGAAGTTGAAATCGTCCCGTTTATCATAGATTTTCGTGTGAAGTCGTCCATCTGTGTCAATATTGAGGAAAAGATCAAGGTATGAAGCAGTCCTTCTAGTATCAGTAGTATCCTTAATTTCAAGTTCACTGGGATATATGAGATATAAGTATTGGCTGAAATATGGGTTATTCAATGATAGGACATCATCAATATATCTGAAAGTAAAATTAAAGAATTTCGCAAGGTGCTTTTTCTTTTTGTCTTTTAGAAGGTTCTGAATGAATTCTGCTTCATACGAGTACAAAAACAAATCGGCCAGTAGGGGTGCACAATTAGTACCCATTGGAATACCGACTGTTTGTTGAAATATCAAACTCAACAAATACATTGTCGATCAAAAAGTCCAGCATTTTGATAATATCATCTTCAGTAAATGTTCTGGTAGATTCAGTTTGGTTCTTCACAAAATATGAATTATTGTAACCCAAAACAAGAAATTTGTATCTACGATTCCCATTTTTATAGAAAAAGCTCTGTTTAATGAGATGGTGAACACATATTTCACTGTGGGTGTTACGTCAGAAAACGGGACCCTAAGATGTTCGATATATATTTATCAATAAAGGTTCAATGTAATGACTTTGACTTTTTTGTGTAGCTTATCTGGACCTTACTATTATCATAGCGAAAGGCCATTGACGCATTCTAAATAATTAGTACAGGGGATTGACTCCATTAGCCTCATCTTGAATAATTTTTAAAACTAATTGATGAACAGAAAACATTGTCGTGTCTTATTCCCTCCCCTCAAAAATATTATTCGATGCCAATGAATCTGTTTTCTTAGAAATTAAAGACAACTTTCATTAAACGATTACCAAAGCATGTATGACAATTAACCATTACAAGAAAAACTTCGAAGACCATACCACCTTAGGCGACAGAGAGCTGTAATTCGAGTATTTTTCAAGATATGATATTCATAAAGCTATTTTTTTTTTTTGGTTTCGAAAGGTTTATAAAAAATATTGAACAGTACTACATACCTTGAGGAATATCCTTTGAGATTCTTGAAGCTTCCGATTGTCTGGTTTATAAGGGCGTGTCGGTCTGTTTCTTAGCTATTGAACACGTGATATATAAAGCTTAGGTTTCATTGCTGACAGTAACTCTGTAATTTTCATTTTTTATACATTTCTGTTTCTATAGTAATTGGAATCATTGACCGGCAATATTTCCACTTGATTATGTTGACCAATATAAAGGGTCTAGTTTTATGTTTTTTTTATCGTTTACTAATAAGACATTAATAATATATCGACTTTTATAGATTTTGCTTTTTCTAAAATAATATTCTTGATGATACGAGTTGTTTCATTGGCATTCATACCACATCTTGATATATGTTCTCAACAATACCTGCAATTATTTATACGATATATTATATGTAAACAATCTATACTTTTCTAAAAATACACATGAACTTTTTTCCACCTCCACTCATTCCAATTTAATATTTTCAATGCTAAAACGTTTTTACTACAAGGTTATAGAAAATTGAACTTTTTAACACAAATATAGATTTATATTGTTGAAGCATGATTCCACCTGCAGAAATGATTTCAAAAGTGGTATTTCATACTCATCCTATCTACATTTATATTCCTTTAACTATTTAAGACATCATCTTTTATATTTCTTGTTTTTTAAGCGGTATTAGCTTCGAATTTGACAGATTAAGTTAAAACACATAAAATAAGGATTTTTCATACACATGCAAGAACGGTCCATTAAATAAAAATGAGCTATTTAATAGCAGTAAGTTTTGTTCAATTCTGTCACAATAAACCTATACGTTACTGTCTTACAAATCAAAGCATCGTTGATGTTGTGATCCAGCCATATTTATAGCTAGTCTAATATTCTTTCTGACCATACTTTTTTCAATATTTTTTTCTCTTTTCATTTCCAATCTTACTGTAAAATTTCTATGTTATTGTCCAAAAGTAGGTAATTTCCCAATATTAATGCAAATATTGATATATATATATATATTATATAGATATTTCAATTTTAGACTATGTAAGATTTTTTTTTTACAAGAATGGAAAGGGAAATCTTCAAATAAGTAATATATTTTTTTATATGCCATTAATAATAACTGGCTTAATAATTTCCAGAAAGAGGCCTTAGAAATGCACTTTCTCAACAACAAAAATTAAAAAAAAAAATAATAACTATTTTTTATCTAAATTGGTGTTCATTCTTCATTAAGAAAAAATACATTTCCTGTATTCAAATTTAAATGTACAAATACCAAATGATGAGATAAATTTTATTGCAGAAAATGCTCAGGTAAGAGTTATGCAATTTTGTATATTATTGTAATCAAATTTCTGATAATTGTAACTAAATAATTAGAACTTGATTATTGACTTATGTCAGATGATAATGACACTGATTTTACAAGTGAAATAAAATTTGCTTGCATTTTTTATACATATTTTTTAAATTTTTTTGTCTTTTCTTTGAAATAAAAACACACATCTGATTAATCATTCAGCTAGCTAGCAAAATTAACAGAATATCTTAGTGTAGTGTAGATTAAAATAAATAATACATTTGTAGGTTTACTATTGAGGTCAAGAATTTGTGTATTCAGTTAGGTGTGTAATAAATTGTGTCTATTTAATTATGTAACAGGTCATGAGATATTAACTGTGGTGAATTAAGCCTGGGGTCGTTTCCATTTAATACTTACACCTTTGATTGTAATTATTTGAAAATCATGACAGTTGATAATCATACTGACTCTTACTTGCCTATGGAAAGAATTGGAGTAATATCATTTCAAAAAAGTGTGGGAATCAACTTAGATATATTAATACACATGTTGACCTACATTTCATTGAACAACAACTTACACAAGCATAAGATACTAATATAATACTTTCAAAATTCTTATCAACTGATTCAATTGATGTACAAATACTTTTTCAAATTAATTCATATAAAGAAAATCATTATAAATTTTGATTTACAAAGGAACTATATGCAAGTGTATATCTAAAATAAAAGGGTTGTTCGACCAATCTTTTCTTAATTTAAGGGCAAATAACACGTCAAAAGATGGCAGTTGATGATTAAAATGGTGTAGAAAGTTTCTGCAAGTCATAAAAACACATAATTAGCTTCATGATATGTCTTCAACTTAGTATTCTGCACCATCTCCAAAACCAGAGTGATCGCATAGATCCAGCATGGCTGAATCAAAAATCAACCCCATTTGGTTCCATATGAATGCAATCTTTGATATTACCTCAGTTGGAGGTCAACTGTGCATGTGCTCAGTATATTCAGGTGTTATAGAGAAACTATGATAGACAACATAAAGATTGATTCATCGACTGAATCAACCCGCAAAAAATTATTCTTTTACAGGTTTCTAGAAAAACGAGCATGTCCATTATATTTTTTATGTATGATAACTAAATAAATGGAGAATGTGTCTATGGGCCACAGAAACCCCGCTTGAAAATATGCATGAGTCAATGTACTAACTATTGACATTTTCTTTCCTTTTAAAGTTAATGACATATATTTCTACATGTTGTCATTAGAAATTGCTTGCCGGTTTGAGTGCTCTCAATGTTCAATAACATTTGGTTGAGGCAAACTAAAGTTAGAGAACGGAAACGACAGATTTAGCAATTTTTCCATTTATAAAGGGGCTTAACTCAAGATCAGTAAAAGTGACGCCACCCAATTTCAAACTTGACCTGTGTTTTGTGGTAATAAGCATTGTGCATAAGTTTTATAATATTTGGTTGAGGCAAACTAAAGTTAGAGAACGGAAACAAATTTTGGGGACGTACTCGACAGACAAGGGTAAAACTTAATTCCCTCTCCGCTATGGCGGGGCATAAAAAAGCATCATTATACTATTGCACATGTATTAATATCTATCTATTTCTATCGGGGTCACATACCCATCGTAAATCTTCAGAGGTGGTGTCGATTGTTAATAATATGGCGTTCTGTCCAAAAATGTTGATACTTTATAAGGATTTCATGTATTGTTAACTGTTTCCTACGGAATTATAGTAATTTAAGTATATTATATACCTGTATCAAATCTGAGAGTTTTAGTCAATTCGGTGGACATGAGGCTGGCAGCTTTTGTTCAATTAAAGTCAGATAAAATAACCTGGTATGTATTTCTTAATATAATATGGATTCACTAAGTTTTATTCTGAAACAGAAAGAACTGTTCCACTTTTTCAATTAAAGGTAATGGGCTTATATTTCATGAACACTATTTTTTCAATGAACTCGATGAAAATATGATCAAGCAATCTAAATAGAAAGTATTCAATTAATATTGTTTTGGTAAACTCTGATATGTCATTGATGGTAGGAATCTTATAAAGGTACAGGCATATACCAATTTAAATGATTGTAGGTCACCTGATTTTGAATGGTGATACTCATGCTGCTCAAAACGATTCATCAATTGCATCATTGAGGCAAACTAAAAATGAAGTAAATGTTAACCTTTATTTGTTTATTCTGCAAATGTAGAGATTCATAACAACTGTTTGTTAACAGTAACACAAATTTGATTACAAACTTTACCTGTTAATTGAATCAAGCAAATACCACATTAGAGTATTAAGGCATATAACCTTATTATCCATAACAAAAATAAACATAAAATAAATCCTATTATTAATTATGTACTATCTATTTTGTAGGCATTTATACTCTCATAACTTTTGATATTTGAAGATAAATTGCCATTTTGAAATAATCAATATGTCATACCGTTTTCATTTTGTCATTATAAAACTGTTAACATTAGTAAACAAATTGACAGTTGTTAATCTGATGAAATGAACTAGTTCATATTTTTATGCATCTAATCAAGAAAAAAACTTTTACAGCATACATACACGAGTATGTACAAAACCAAAGCAGTTAAGTTTCCTGATTTATTTAGGAGGACCATTAATCAACATACCGTTTGCTGACAAAATATTGAAAGATTCCAACAAAATAACTTTTTGGTATTACTATGGACAGGTTTTAAAACAATAATTTAAAAACTGTTTGTTTTTCAAATTTAAAATAGCTAGCCATTTATGGTCCAACTAACAAACAAGAAAATGTAACTTTTATGCATTAAGTTAACACTCTAGTAGTTCAGCTGTTAGTCCTAAACTGAAACAGTATGTCTGAAATACTAAAAGCCCCGATTATTTTGGCTGCCATTAATGATAAGCACATGCCAACAACCGAAATGCAAGTCAAATTAACAGTGCACTGGTTAAGGTAACAGGTACATAAATGGGCAATCTCACTGTTTTTTATGAAATTTTGCAAGCAATAAGAGCATGTGGAACTGCATATGAATATCGAAAAATTATATAAGTAACTTTTATACTTTCGGATAAATAACAAACTGAATATTCTGTAGAAAGGAGTACAAATGTCTAGGATGCACGTAAATATTGAAAAAAATATAGAAAAAAATTACTTTAAATTGCCTTTTCTCAAAAACGTGTCCTACAAATTTTCTTTAAAATTGACATGTTATTGCCACTGAAATTTCCATTTTATTTACTTGTATATGAAAATTATACGGGGTCACCAAATTCGTTTTTGATGTATAAATCATTCAAGTCTCTTAATAATATCATAAAACGTCGAATAATATAATTTCTAGCGATGACGTCAGAATTATTTTTGCCTTTTCCGCTTGTTTTCCACATTATATAGAATATTATTAAACTATTCTTACTCAAAAAACGAATTCAGTGACCCCCTATAAAATTTATATCAATATAACGGAAATTTCAGTAGCAATAACATTTCATTTTCAAAGAAAATTCGTGGGACAGGATTTCCAGAAAAGTTAATTTTAAGTCAAAATTGCTGAACTTTTTAAGTGTATTCTATACATTTGTAGTACTAATTTCCGAATATTTTATTTGCTATATCTCAGAAAGTATAAAAGTAATATGTATAAATATTTCGATATTCATGTGCAGTCCCTCGTGCTCTAGTTGTATGCAAAATTTCATAAAATTCTGCGAGATCATCCATTTACGTACCTGTTACCTTGGTATGCTAAATAAAATCAGCATTTTCTAGCTTAAACCTGCACTTTTAAAAAGGTGCCACTTTCCCAATTATATACGTCCCAGACATTTCTTTACTTTTGCCATCCTGATTTTAATTCAAACACAAGATACTGATATTTTCTTATGTACTAAATTACAATTTTTGTGAGAAAAACATTAAACAAATACAATATACAAGTATAAAAAATTTACACTATCATGTGAATTTATACACAAGTCTATTTCACACATAACTGATCACCAGTCAACATTAACTATCATCGACAAGGCTTGAGATTTTGTGGCATATCAAAAATTAAGATATAAACTGAGTATTTAAAAAAAGATTAAATTGGTATAGTGGTTATAATGCCTGGTTAAATGATTAAGTGTAAAATTTTATATCATTAACATCAATAAAACAAAAGTTACAAAACTTCTGTTTTGCACATTTTTATAAAAAGAGAATTTGATTTTTTCTAAAATATGGCAACCTTAAAGGGAAAGGTAAAGCATGATAGAATCACAAGAGCAAAATAACATAAATTCTATAAAAATATTTTAATATGGTATACAAGCATTACCACAATTGTTCAATTCATAATATAATCTGTACTTTGTATCGAGTTGTGAAGGTTTGAAAATATTTTTTTTATCTAAAAGGGTTAACATTATCTCCTTTATAATGGTATAACATTCTGGTTGCAGTCCTATCCAAACAACTTAACTGATTATTGACTACTTGAATGATATACCACTACACTGAGTGAAATTGGAAACTTATGCAATTAAAAAGACCTATGCATAGTCATAAAAAGGGGACATGTTGTGATGTGCATATGTAAATTTTAACTACACATCTTATCCCAGCTGAGATTGAGCAATGTGTTTTGCTCACTCAGGCCCTAATATGGTGAAGTGATACTAAAATGCCCAATACACCCCTTACCCGGGTTGTAATAGGGCTAAGTAATCTGCATGTGTTTATGTTCACATCACATCTTACCCCGGACTGTGAAAGGGAGAAATAATCTGCAAATGTGAATTTCCACTATATATCTTAACCCAGCTGTGATTTGGTGAAGTTATCTGTGCACTTTCTGTCCACTTCACCTCTCATACAAGCTGTGATTGGTTGCACACTTCAATGCCAATATAACCCTTACCCATACTGTGATAGGGTGAATTGAATTACACATGTAAATGTTAACTTTTCAATGCCTTAACCCCACATATGATTGGGTACAATAATCTTCACACTTCAGTTTACACTACATTCTGTGCCAAAGCTATGATCGTGTGGGAAAATCTGCACATCATCATATCAAGCAACAAATACAAATTTCATGTTTTTGTTCTAATCAATTTGGGATCGAACCCAGAAGCTCCTGCACTTTAGACAGTTATTTGTCTCTCGAGTTTATTCCACTTAATATTATAAATAAGACATAGAAAAAATGGGTTTAAGGTGATGAAATTATTATCTCAAAACAAAGAGGATACTTTCAGGCCAGGTCATAGATTTGAATTGCAAATAAGCACCCTACAAAAACAAAACAGATTCTTTTTTTGGTTACGAATTCAACAGTGTCAACATTGGACTTTGTACATCCTATATTCTTTTCATTTAAAGTTAATTAAACTAACGGGATGGCTCCTCGACAAACATCTCTAACAGGGAAAAGTGATAGATCTGATTGAGTGTCTGAAAGATTAATAAACAAGAATGTGTCCATAGTACACGGATGCCCCACTCGCACTATCATTTTCTATGTTCAGTGGACCGTGAAATTGGGGTCAAAACTCTTATTTGGCATTAAAATTAGAAAGATCATATCATAGGGAACATGTGTACTAAGTTTCAAGTTGATTAGACTTCAACTTCATCAAAAACTACCTTGACCAAAAACTTTAACCTGAAAGACCAAAAACTTTAACCTGAAGCGGGACAGACGGACAGACAGACGGAAGAACGAACAGACACACAGACAGAAAAACATAATGCCCATAAATGGGGCATAAAAATACAAAACTTATATAGACCACATTTTCTTTATAAAATTTGAAGGAAGCAATAGTTGTCAAAAGAAGAAGGCACATCTGTTATAGTGCTGTCTGTCATATTTGTTTTTCATTTTGTGCTATTAACTTCGATCAGGCTGTTAGAATTGTTTGACTTTTGTTATCCCTAGGGCTTTTAAAGCTTAATTTACAAAATGGGTTTCAAACATGTTGAATGAGACGTTTTTACCAGTAGTTTATTACATCCTTGTTCTTTAATTATTGGTGGATAATTGTTTCATAAACAATCATGCCACATCTTCTTTTTATAATCCAACAAAATCTGTTTTACTGATTTAGAATAAGAAGACAGAAAATTTGCCTGTAAATTTTCATGCTTGAAAATGTTTTTTTGGAAATTTCAAAGAAGAGAGGAACGTGTACTACACTCAACTATGTTTGTCCATCCCCTATAAACCACTATACTAATCTTGAAGCACAGAATCATTATAACTTAAATTGCATATCAATTTATATTATGCATATAGTGTATAAATATAACAAAAATATTAAATACTTATGATCAGAAATCTATAATACTGTAATACAGAATTTAATGCATTTTTTTTATCATTTTGAATTTTCAACTTTGGGACACAATTTGATATTATTTACTGTGACTTGACTACTGTCACATATTGCAGTTTAATGTCATTTGAAGGTAAGGTACAATTTTTTAATTGCTATAACACTGTCAAATTTAACCTTTAAACTATTCCCTCATCTGTTCACTATTTCATATAAAAGGGGGAAATGAAGTCGAATTATTTGCCATGAAAACTCTCCTAGAGCAGTTTGATTAAATGACTGACAAGTTGATCTGTTTGACTAGATGTAACAAAATGCAATTTGTTTGGAATTTTTTATTAACTGCAATATGTAGAGAGAAACACTACCAGTCAAGTCCTCCAATTTATTGCATTTATAAAAACATTGTTTAATTTCTGAATTTACAGTTTACCATATAGACAACTTATGAACATTATAATGTCATAAATATATTTAAAAGATAAAACATTAACTTATTGCACTAATATAAAACAAAATCAACAATCATACATATTTGAGGTAGGGTTAGCATAGTATTACCTAGGCGGGAAAACCCGGGTGGGAAAACCTGGGTTTTCCCAGGCTGGGCAATACTCCTAGAAATGGGTAATACTGGGCAATACTGGGAAAATGATTTTTCATGCTTATTTTTACACAAAATAGTAAAGACTTGATGTAGCTTAATAGTATTATAGCTAAATATATACATTCTATACAGATAACCATTGAGAGTCATTCCTGAAGATTGAAAATTCAATTTCTTCCTTTTCTCCACTAATTCTATGTAGGCAGAATACAAGTATTGGACATTTCAGGATACCTTGTTAATTTCCAAGCTTTGTTTCAATATTAAATCCAAGTTGAAAAAATGCATTCTATTGCAGTGTTTAAATGAATTGTAAATTTTAATTGTTATACAATCATATTGCTAAATAAAACAAGGGGACAGGCCTTGAACACTTATAGTAATCAAAAGGCTGATTATTGTTATATAAACAGATCTGTATTATAATCTGAATAATTACTTATTAATTAGTGATGTATATAAACATATGCTAAAACTTAGTAAACATTTTTAGTAATGAACAAAAATGTTTAAAAGTTATTTTCCTTACACATGTTACATAGAATTGTTAATTCTTAATATTAGTTATATTTATTAAAAAGAACAAATTGAATTCTTCGACTTTAATGTATTGTATTTGTGATTAATCACTGAATCCTCTTTAAAATTCAGGCCAGTATTTCATATTACCCAGTATTACTCGGTAAAACCCGTGTTTTCCCAGTATTTCCCACTGGGCTGGGCAATACTCATAAAACCCGGGTTTTTGCCAACCCTGATTTGAGGTACATTACCATATAGGAGGGTAAGAATGCCCTTTACCGTCAGGCGTAAAACAGTCATTTTCGGCTACTGTTAGCATCCAATAGGTTAAAATTATATCGTGATTCGTCAAAATATCCTTATCACGATTCGTCAGAGGTCTCAGTTACCGTTATTTTTTTAAAAGAATTTAACGTGATTTATCAAAATCAGTCGATTTTTTTATCATCATAAATAAAGTACATTTTATCGTCTTGCACCAAAATTACTGTTAACGTGATTTTTTGTTTAATGCTCTTCATATCTAATACTGTCAATTCAGAAATTTTTTTAGGGACCAATGTTTTGTGCCATATATCAATTCTCAGCAAATTTGTGTATTATTACGTTTCTACTGCTAATATCTGTACATGATGTCATTTCATGGTAGCATAATATGTAAAAAGAAAAATGTTTTGAACAAATACAGCATTTCTTTTTTAAGTTCATTGATTCAATTTATAATTTTGGAACTTAAAGAAATTATAAAAAAAAAAACATCAAATTGTCGAATAAAAAAAAAGATATATCAACAGTTTATGAGATTTAGCTATTTACTGTACATGTAGTTTCTCCCTGAATGCTAGCAGAGAGAATAAACATAAACAACTTACCTGTTCCCTAAATACATTTGATAAACTGAAGAGAATAGTCTCTATCCAAGACTCAGATTAAACAATTTTGTACATATATATGATGCCCAATGTACACACATAAGTTAGTCCAAGGCTCCTAGCTATGAGTCTGTAACTTCAGTAACAAAATGTATGTTACAATATGTAACAAATAACTATTATCACAAATTAAAAAAAAAAAAGCTGGTTCACTGAGGGTATGGTGGTGGTTGTTCCATTGGTGGGGCACTAGCTTTTACCTCTGGGTGGTCAGTGTATGCTGTGGTTGATGAACCAACATATCCAGTTTGAACAGGTGTTGGATATTGCGGATATCCTTGTGGTACCTGTTGGTAGCCTGTGTTAGGTGGGTAGTATTGCATCTGCGGTGCCTGGTACCCTGCTGTGTAACCTGCTGTGTAACCAGCTGGCTGTACAGGATAAGTCACTACTGTTTGTTGCACTGGGTATCCGGACTGGACTTGTCCTATAAAACATTAAATTTAGTTCTTTAACTTACTGGGTCTTGACAGGCAAATATACAAAACTAAGAAAAATAATAAGAATAAAAAATCATGATTAAAAAAAGAACAGAAAACTCCATAACAAAAAAGAATAAAGAAAAGCCCTACAAACATTCACATCAAACTAAAGATTAAACAATATTAATACCACAAAAAAAGGAGAGGGTCCACTAGTATTGTAGTTAACATATTCATGATGCAGAGTTTAAGGGATTCTTGTAACTCCTTTAAGTGTTTGGAATGAGCACACTGATTTAATTTCAGATCATCTGCCACATATTCCTTTACTTACATGTGAAAAATGGGATGCAAATTATTAAAATAGTGTTTTATAATTTAACAAGTTATTTACACATCTCCTACATGTAAATATGATTTGATTAATGTACCAGTATATGCCTATAATTCAGAATTCTGATCCATCTTAAAATGTGCAGTAGAAACAGAGCCAGATTGGCTAATTTAAAAATACCACAGACATTAAGAAAAATGTGTTATGTTTGAAAACATTAACAAAACTGTCTGCATACATTGTAATATAAGCATGAAATTTTACAATAAATGGCAGGGTGTCATGACAACTACAAATTAACTGTAGTACCAGTTCTAGGGTTTGGCTTACTTACCTGCAGTCACAACTGTAGTACCAGTTCCAGGGTTTGTCTGACACACCATTCCTCTAGCTCCTCGACTTTTTCTACAGCAACAGATAATGGTAACAATAACTGCAATCACAACACCCATTCCCACTACCATTCCAATTATAGGCCATACTGCTGAACAACAATACTCTAAAGACCCATAACCACAACAACCAAAGGCACAATATTCATAATATGATTCACTAAAAATACTGTATTTGATACACTGTCCTGCATCTGTAGTTCCTGAAACACATTTAAAAAACATAATGTCAGATAAACTGCAATGTACTGATCGTTCATTTAAAAGATATATGTCTTATATAATTCATGTACTGTATATACATTGTATATATGCATGTATCTGACAATGCACACTTTGAACATGTTAAACAGGGCAGTTCCTTCACAAATGTGTATTTCTTGTACAGGTGTCTGCTTGTAGAATCAACCATTAAGCCAGGAAAGGGGGAAGGGAAGTTTTGACAAATGCATACTATGTAATAATCAGGCAGGTTTGATGGAAATCTTGTTGCATGAATGTGCTATATGTAGGTCTAACAGCTCTAAATAAAAATGTTGATTAAATTTGTGAATGTCTTCTATATTTAAACACTAACTTGCTATTTTAGAATTTTAGAGATAAAATTGTTCAATCAGAATTTTTCTAATTTTTAAAATTAATTGAATGAGATTTAAAATTTGGTTGAAATTGGCTAGAGTCAAATGAGTGCCTGTAAACATTATTCAATAATTCAATTATTGTTTTGCTCTCTCCAGGCACACCAGCTTCCTCCACCAATATAAAACTGACAACCAGGAAAGAGGGCAATAGTGTTGAAAGTGACATTAAACACCAATCAATCAAGCAATCATATTTTCTAGCATGTCTAGATCTAGTGTAATATTCTATAAATACATTTATAAATTGTTACATAAAGTTAGTTTATAATACAACAGAAAGTAGTCAAGTTATTTAATATCATGATGTAAAAAGTTTTGGACTAATGTCTGTTTCAAACTTTGTATTATCATGATGTATTGGTCAATTAGTTGATATCCCCTTTTGGACAGTAAAGACTAATTCAGCTTTCCATAAGAATGTCCAGGTATTACCATGTATGATTCAAACTGTTTCAATTAGAAATACATTATAAAGGCCACTTATATTCTTAGCTTACATAAGCAGATCTGTCAATCAAGTTGCAATATGGGCACCCATCTTTTATTTGGTTTGCAGAAATGTTTATTTAAAAAAAACATAGCTATATATATATTTACTATTTTTAGTGATATCACTCTGTGGTTATAGTAAGTCTCTGTATCACTCACTTGACTTTGTAAGGCTGTATGTATCTTTAATTCACTCTTGAATGTACTGAGATGTATTTTAATTTCAAGTGGGTTTAAACTTAATATGAAATGAAATATGAAGAATTATTATACATGTATATCACGTATATATGTGTAAACAAGTGGCTGTCAAATCAACATCAAACCGGATTTTCCTGCAAGAAAATGATATTTGCAAATTGGGACCCCCAAACAGGATAAAGAAAAATTAATGAATTTTTGTAGGATTCAGATATAGAAAGACCAAGGTATATCTTGACCTCCTATTTATCATAAGTGACTTAATATTGGAATTTAGAGAGTATATAAGTACACACACATTTGTTCAGTAGGGGTGGGTAGGCAGAAATCATGAAGTCAATAATGAAAGAAATATGTTAATGAGATTATAACCTTATCTAATATGAAACCATAGAATCTTGTGGTAACTCCAACAACTTTCCAGAACCCACTTTCAAACTGTTGTTGTCTTGTTTCTTCAAAGTATCAAGATCTGCATCTACATTGTAAGCCTTTTAAAGTTATCCCATGGACAATGCTCTAAGTACAATGTATCACTTTATGCTACTTAAAGGTCTATAACTCATCAACATTAAAAGCTAAAATCGTGAAATTCAAACTTGACCTTTTTTTAGTCTCAGGAAACAACATACAATGTATCTAAATTTGAAAAGATTTCGTCAAAACATTTTCTTAAGTTACACTTGTCTAAATTTGAAAAGATTTCGTCAATGCTTTTTCAAGTTATTGCACATACAATGCTCGAAGTATCACTTTTCACTACTTAAGGGTCTACAACTCAACAACTATAAAAGCTAAAATCATGAAAATCCAATTTGACCTTCATTGAGTCACAGGAAACAACAAAGCTAACTTTGAAAAGTCAAAGCATTTTCATGTTATTGAACATACTGATTGGCAGCCGCCCGCCTGACCAGTCCGCCTGCCCGCTGTACATCACCAAATTAATAACCGATATTTTCCTTCAGAAATCTGGTTAATAAAACGTGTAAACATATTTCAGTATGAAGTTAAACTGTCATGACTGTGCAGGACATATTTACTTAACTAATTGGAAAATCTATCACTTTTTAAAAGAATTTTAGGTGAAGAGATGTTATATCTAGCAGTCTAATTTAATTGGCACTGGCTAAGATTACGTTGAAAAAAAATATGAGAGGCCCATCATATGGGTTATCAGTCTGGAGTTGGTTTCACAAAAATACTTACAACTAAGATTGATCCTAAGTCATGAACAATTCGCTATACTTCTGATCAAGCTTAGTCTTAAGTAATTTTGTGAAACCGACTCCTGGGTGTGAATTTATGGCTAGTTCATTTCCGCTCATAACACATATGCAAAAACTATCAAATTAATGCTAAGTATATATATGATAAATATAATGTACATATGGGATTTAATATATTACTATTCCAAGCATACATGAAATGCATAAAACATTAAAAGTAACAATAACACTACGTAACCATAGACACAGGTATTATTGTTATGTTCGTGGGTAAATCAGTTCCTAATACACTTGTCCTAATACAACCTATCATTATGCAATTAGTGGGTATCAGGTACGTTCAATCCCAATACACGTTCGCCCACTGGGTCCGTTCGCACCTTATTTTTATATTCAAATATTTAATGTTTTTTAGATGTATATATATATCAAATGCTCTATATTGTAAATGATAGCTGTAATACAACATCAAATAAACATATATATATATATACATATGTCTGCCTATGTGTAGTGACAACTGTAAATTATACATTGTACCTTGTCCATCGGATTTCTTATGATTAAAAAATACCAGGTGATAGAATATTTATAAAGTGCCTAGAAAATCAACCTGTTAGGCGATACACTGTATCAAAGGATGTTATTGAACTTTTCAAAAATAAGAACAAACAAAACAAACGATCCAGTAGCAAACCACTTCATTCAAAAAAATCTAAAAGTTACTGCAGTAGAAAGAGTATTTGGTACAGAAATTTACTGAAAAACTAAAGACTTTTGGATTAAAAAATTAAAAACTTTAGAGCCTGACGGACTGAACACTATGAAAGGACGATAGTAAAAAGAATTATGAAAAAAGAAAAAGCGCGGCAGATGAACTTCATAGAAGTTATTGTGACGTAATGTATCCAAGCGATGTAATTGTTGTTTCAATGTTGTAAGTTAATTCCAATGAAGAAGGACGTAATGGCCGAAATGTATAGAAACTTGCGTTATAGTTTTTATTATAAAATCAATCAGTGACTTTCAAATGACTTTATATATATCTCAACTTTAACCGTGCTTATTTGTTTTCAAGGGGGGGTTCGTACGAACCAATCTAACCCCCCTGGCTAAGTATATGTTGGTACCTTCAATCTTCTTTACACATGGGAATAAATGCTCTGTAGGTACTTATGGCTGACACGCAACACCATAAACACCTAAAAAAAACATGTGATTTGTGGCCCAGTTTTTGTGTTATTCTTTGTGCAACAGTTGTTGCAAAATCATTGTGACGAGTTTGATAGCGTTTTGGTATCTTCCGCCTTTCTTTTACAAGTCTTAGATGAATGAACTTTGCCATAATCGTCATGACAATTATTTATTTATTATTCATTTCGTCAAAATAATTAACATGATTAATAAAACACTATACATGCTAAAGGAAACCACTTTATTTTGAAACAATTAAACAAAACATATTTTTAGCAACACACTAACTAAAACATGATTAAAAAATTATTCAAAACAAAACCATTTAAAAGGGTGCAAACGGACCCAGGGTGCGAACGTGAAAGGGGGCGAACATGAATTTGGACGAACGGACCCGGATTCCAATTAGTGTCCAACGTTTTCAACGTAATCGTAGCCAGTGCCAATTTAATTTTCGTTACAATATCTTAACTTTGGATACAATTTCAGTTCAGATCAGACATTTATTGAAATGTGCAGCTAATCTTAGTCTTGCTGCCTACCGAGGCAAGAGCAGACTCTCACAAGATCGGTTCCCCCCTTTTCAATCAAGTAAACACAACCGACCTTGACACAGTTAATATAAATATCAATTGATATCATAAATATGTAGCCTGTTTGGTGGAAAGTTAAGGGTATGTACATTTGTTAATAGAACCTGTCTTACCAATAAACCAAAAAACCGAAACAAGACATGTTAAATGACTTGCCATCGACATGATCAAGGAACAATATTCACAATATTCCTTTTTACAGCATCCGGTTGTTGTATACGTTCAATCACGTGATTAATAGCAATTAATATCAAAGAAAATATGTCTTTGTTTCTGTCGGGTAATAGCCTCCTTCAAAAAATTGTTCTGCCATATAATATATGTTAATTATGTGGCTTTCTTGTCTGCTTCAGACACGAGGAGGACTGTGTAAATAACACAGCTCCTTCAGCACTGCACACCTTGGTAGGGAAACCTACACTATTCTCTTCTTCTTCTTCTGGTATACAGTTACAGCTTCATTTATATTGAAGATTACGAACTGTTACATGCGCGGAGTATATGATTAAAATTATATATGAACAAAAATTTATCTTTAAATTTGTAGAATACTTGGTGATATTTACATGAAACAAAGACAACAGTGATTAAAAATATAGTACATTGGTATTTATAGAATTAATTTATGTTGTGGAGAACAGTTGGTGTCAACTGATCTCTATAGGTTTCAATTGTTTGACATGCTACTACAACTTGTGGTAACATGTTCCATTGGATGATTGTTTGCGGAAAAAATGACCATTTGTAACGGTCTTTAGAGGTGGATATTTGTCGAAATGTTTGGGTATGTAATTTTCTTGTTCTAGTTGACAATGTTTTCTCGGGGTAACATGTTATGTGTATATCCCCCCCCCCCCCCCCTAGGGGACCTAATTTGGAAAATATCTTATCTTATCTTATCTTATAAGAATTTGTTTGTTTTCTGACAAGTTCCGTTTGCAGGAAAAGACGTCAGGCCAATAATAAAAATATGTTTGTTTGCCCATCTCCGACCCATCATTTTAGATGTGGGTAGGTAGGCAAATTATTTTATTCAGTTATTATCATAAAAAGATAATTTGTAAAAATTTTGTCAAGATGGAAGATATATCTGTCTACAGTTTAGATGCAAGTCATTTTTCGCTGGTACATTGTATATCACTAAAGAGTGGAACTTTAATTTACTTGACAAATTTCAGATATTTTTGTTTTCTTCAAAATCAGAGATTTATGATAAATGTTTTCCTAGAAAAAAATCTTAGGGATTTGGGATTGCCAGATAAAATCAGGTGTACAAGCAAGTACATGCATAGAAAGAAAAATCCATTTCAAAAAAATGCATCAATTCTGTTTATTATGACCTATACAATCATTTATATCAGTATGCGTCTCGTAAAGGTAGACATACTGAGCGCAAAGAAGACTGCCAATTCCTATAAAATTGTGATACAAAGAGGTAAATTTCGAGACAGTCTGTTACAAGCAGACTTTCTAAATCCTAGCTGGTAAGGTAATCCCTTTATTTTCAAGATGAAAATTAATTTTGATAAGCGCTTATTTCAGGAATACAGAACTTCATAAATGCATTGCTTTGTTTTGTGTTATAATAAAAAAAACTAAAAACAAAAAACAAAAAACAAAAAAATAGTTGAATTTTGTACAACAATGTGGAATGAAATCAAAACTACAAGGCCATCACAATTAGGGACAATCATGACAATAACCAAATGACCACTCAAAGGCATACTGGGATTAATTTCCTTAATCAACTCAGACAAAATCTTGAAATATCTATGTATATACACAATCTGAATAAAAGTCAATTAATCATGTCATAACAAAACTAAAAGTATCTGCTTATATGACCACTATGGTATTGTACATGGAAATGGACATCTGTGGTCAGCGATTTGGTTAGAAAATTGAAACTAACTACAATCTAACACAAAATATTTGGTTTTCAAAATCAATACTTTCAAGAGACTATCTATCAGACACACAGTGATATTAAAATTAATCTTTCAGTATATTCAATTACAATGTTGAACATCCCAAATTTTTCAACATGACCACTCAGCATGACCCTCAAACCTTAAGAAAATCAATCAGAAATTTAAAGCATTTGAAAAACATCATGTTGGACAGCTGTCCAAGTTGTGTTTTAGACATTAGAATATTTTTTTACATTTTATTTCTCAAAACATTCTTTGCAAAGATATCCCGTTAACTGCTTGGTAGTGGGATATAAAAAAATGACTGAAAAATTACGAAGTCCAAACTTGATAAAAAATTGGTTCATTTATAAAACATGAAACCATACACCTTATCGTGCCTATAAAGAATATGTTAAAAATACAAACCTTCAATATATGTCCTCATATATGATCCAATTTCTCAACGAACAAGCTCCATACATACCGTTAACATTATTTTGTTACGGGTTACAGAGCTCGAGGTTGGGTGTAAGAAACTCAGACTATTTCAAGTCCCAGGTCCTTCACTTTTGTGAACCGCGTTTAAACTAATCTATAAACTCTTAATGTGTCTTCATACGAGCCACAGAATTCAACTATTGTATCATTTTAAATCTCAATTTTCCAGGTAAAAGCCCTTGTTTTATATAATATGTATTTTGCGGTAAAAACATCGCAGCTTTATCTCAAAGACAGAAATAAAATTTCAACCCTCAGACTTTTCCTTAACTTCCATGACCCTGGCGAGTTCGTCGTCGATGAAACAATAAACAGATAAACCCACCTCTCAGGATTGTTAATAGAAACTCGTACATTATTTTATTAATCTCTTTAGTTATATATTTGATCATTTATTTTTTACGATAATTTTTTCGAAAATCAGTGAATTTTCTTGACTTGTTCCGTGTTTTTAGAATGTGCTACATCGGGACACAACAGATTTTTCTTAACAAAGCTACCAACAGACACAAAGCTTTCCGAATGACTGAACAATGCATCACCCAGACGTTTGAAAAAACGGATGATTAACATTCATTCAAGTAAATCATTTCAGTCATTGATCAAAATGTTTATTCTAATAGTAGCATCCATGACGGACAAAATAAATAAAAAAAATATTTTTCTAGATATTGCAATAAAATATTTCGGATCGGGCCATTTTTTTTGGGTTGGTCGGAGATGGGCACACAAACTTAATTTTATTTTAGGCCTCATGTAAGTAACATTTGTGTAACATTTGTGCTGTGATCCAACAGACTTGAAATAACTGTCTATATATGTTTTTTGGCGTACGTCATATGAATTCGTACTATGCATGCCTTTTCAATGGAAATTGTGACGTCACAATGCATTCTTAATAGCACGAACCCCCATTAGACGAGGATATACAAGTGAATTTTAAATTTTAAACTTAAAAAACTGACTAAAGCAGTAGGAGCCTCCAAGGCTCTAGAGGTTTGACACATTAAGGCACCTATAGTGTATCTGCCTGTCGGATGTCCGGTGGTAAGGCGTTCCAATCCCGTATAGTCTGTGGTAAGTATGACATCTTAATGTGTGCATCAATACGTGAGTGTGGTACATGTTATGCTTTTGAATGTATATTTCTCCCTTGACGCAATGGTGGTATGAGTCGTCCTTCTTTAGATATCACTACCATATTATGCTCTATTTTACAAAACATCACTATTCTAGTTTCCTTTCTTCGTTCAACTTGTTGTAGTGCTTTTCATTGTAGGTGATATTTCATTTTTTGTGATACTAGCCGAGTTGGTTTGCGCTTATTTGTTACATATATGGCAGCTCTTCTCTATATCTGTTCTATTTTATAGATATATTATCTTGTGGCTGGGTCCCAAACAGTTGAGGCATATTCTAGCTGTTGTCTTACTAGTCCAATGAGCTAGGCTTTTGTTGATAAAATTCTGATGTTTCTCCGCAAAAATCCTAGTGTTTATTACTTTGTCCGTTATCATGCTGCTACATGTGTTGATCCCATTTCTGGTTGTTTTGAATGGTGAGACCTAAGTATTTGGCTGCCTGTACTTCTTCCAAATTGTGACCTTCTTGTAATTTTTTTCCGCAGTTTTTGAATGTTATTGTCAGGTAAGCGATGGTGTCATCTGCAAGCAAGCGACGACGAGGTTTTTTTTTAACGACCTTAACTACCCATGAGGGTCTTGCACGGTTGGCAAACAGGCGAACTGTAGCATTTAAGTCTTTTGCGCCAATTTTTACAAAATCCAATCTATCATTTGCGCCACAAGGTTATATTTCATTAGCACCAAAAAATAAAATTACATTCGCGCCATTTCACAGGTAACATATAACGGAAAAGTTTAAAATATTCACTGGTACATCGTGAATAAGATTTTTTAAGTGTATTTCCACTGGGTAACTAAGTAAGTTCATACTCACTTCTAACATAAAACTGAGAGTCATTAGGTTTAAAACTATATAGTGTTCACGTGTTTGAGGTGTCAAGATGCACATTGTTAGTTTTCTCAGAATTGGATTGTTTCATATTTTTCATATCGTGCCCGTTTATATCCGACTATACGGTATAGGTTTTTCTCATTCTTGAAGGCCGTTCGGTTGCCTGTAATTGCTTTCATCCACTTCATTTGAACTTTGGTGGATATTTGTCTCATTGGCAATCATATACCACATCTCCTCATTTTTATTTAGAGGAAATAAGTTCTGTAATTTTTTCTGACCACACATATAGGTTATACATTGTACACATGGTACATGTACTGTGTTTTAACATTATTATGAAAAGTCTCTTATTAAAAACGTATCAGTGAACAGTGCTTTCATTATGGTTACGAAGACTGATTTCGGAGGAATATGTTTTATTATGCAATCAAAAACTGTGTTTTAAAGTTATTATTAAAAGTCTCTTTTGAATAACACTAGCTATGTTTTATACTTTTTACCTGTATTTACCTGTATTATTGGCGCAAATGAAATATGGTTTGTGGCGCAAATGAAATACCAATTGGCGCAAAAGCAAAGCACCGGTTAATTAACTTGAAACATGGTACGTTGTTTACACATCAACGTGTGGCACCCTGCAATATTCTCATTCTCGGTAGCTTTCGCGATTACGGAAATAAACGAAGAAATCGAAAGTTGTCATAAATTCTAAGGAAACAGCAATCGGCAAACCTCGGCAGATTCCGTTACCCTACATCTGCGTATGTGTGCTGATTGATTTGTGCGAGACATTATTAAAAATTCTTGAAAAAACACATTGACGATGGAAATTTGTACCATATTAATTGAATAAATACACCATATTTATTGATTTATTTTTCTGTAGAAATTGCACTATGTATATATCGCAAGTTGTGATTAATCAGTTACTGTTTGTTTAACGTCCAGTGGCATACATTTCATGCATATTTAAGACAATTGTAAACTGATTGTTCTGATTAAAAAAATCATAGAGATTTTAAATATGTTTGAATTATAAGGCTTCGCTTTACATCCAGGGTAAGATCATTGGTTAGTATAAGAATGTTTCCGCTGAGCCCCGATGTGTTGAATTATGGTAATATTTACTAGTATCATTTGGACAGAAAGTAATACAGTATTTTATGGGATAGAGATAATTTAGCCATTCAGTAACATTTTATGTCTTCGTTTTTTTCTCAAATTGATAAATACGGGTCAAATCCCACGACCGTCCGCATTCGAGACATTCGAGGCGAACATGCTACAACGAGACCACCGATGTAAACAACCAAAGGCGACCGTAGGACAAATGATCAACAAGACATCCCATATGTTAATGTATAAAGGCCCCGGGATAAAAAAAAAAGTAAAACTATTTAAAAGAGAAAAATTATAAACGGCTTGATACATGCGAATATAGCATTTATGAAGGCAAAATCCAATGCCAGTTTATAAAAAGATCACGTTTTTTCAGACTAGAAAAAAAACCCAGATCTTATCATACGGGTTTAGTGTAAATAAGCAGCCAGAGAAAAGCTTGACATTGTGCAGTTCCAGAATATAAGGAACGACAGGATGCAGAACCATAATTGTTTAAAATGATTGGATAGTAAACATGTATATTTATGTTTAATTACGTATTAAACTATGCCAAAAATCACAACAATTGCTAGTAACTATAAAGTCAATGATTGCCAATGTTCAAAGATCTTACTGCAGTTTTAACTTGATATAACTTTATAACAGTTTATTTAAAATATCAATAAGTTTATGTGGATAGTATATGAATCTTAATTTACGTGCCCAGTTAACAACCAACATCATAAAAAAATAGAATGTGATATCCTGTTTCTAATAAAATTTGAACAGGATCTGCCAAAATTCCAAACCAACTATATATATATATTTGCATTAAGAAAAACTTGGTAAAGGTTTTTCGAATTTGTAATAACGAAATCATCGCCTAATCATTTACCAGTTATACAAGATACGTTCATTTAATCATTCCACAAGGCGTCACTACAGACATGGTCATAGCAAACGAGATGGGAAACACACAATGTACAGGGGCGGATCCAGCCATTTATAAAAGGGGGGTCCCAACCCAGGATAAAGGGAGGGGGGTCCAACTATATGTCCCCATTCAAATGCATTGATCGTAAAAAGAAGGGGGGTTCCAACCCCAGGAACAACCCCCCAACCCCCCTGGATCCGCCACTGATGTAAGAAGGGACCAAAAGAAAATAGACGGAAGGGAACGGAAAACTTCAAATCGTCTCCTTTTTCTTAAATTTTAGTGTAGAAGTAAAAAAAATTTAAGCATTTTAGATTTGTTTTAAGTCACTTCTCTATGGTTAATTTCTGCAACATAATAAGATAAATTATCTTACTTTAAGGAAAAATATCTCCAAAGGGAACGTTTTAAAAGTGTTATTTTTTCATCCATTAAATTGAAATAGATGGTTCTTTGTTGAAGCTATTGAGTTTGACCATGAATTTTGAGTCATAAGAGTACGGACACACCTCTGCTAGTAAAAGGTTGCAAACGGTATCCTTTGGAAAAACAAACATCCTGCTGACAAATTTATTGCCGAAACGAACATAGATGCAAAAGGAAAACAAAATGAACATCTTTAATCACCTCATCGTCATCTCAGCGCAATTACAGTAGCAAATCCTGCATATATATTTTTCATTACATAAGAAGACCTTATAAGGGTTGCACCTGATATGCAATTAAATTTTTCGAAGGAGTACTTGAGAAAGTCGAAGTCATTGCTGGCAACAAAATTGAAAGAAATATTTATAAGGGAACTAAAGACAACACGATTAGTTGTAGAACACTTACTGGAAGTTGAGATGAAATGAAATTAGATGGGTTTTTTTTTTGTGTAGGTAAAGTAACAATGCATAATACGGGATTTCAAATGTACAGAGGAGGCTAAGGTCAGACGTGATTGTCTTCTATTTGAATCTCTGTGGAGCTGAACGTAGAAGAAACATATTTACTAATTCATTCATACACACACATAGTTTTGATATAAGTGGGCAATCAACGTGAACAGAATAGTAATCTTACAAAAATAAAAATCAGAAATGTGAGTTTGATCAAATACAAAATTCACAAACTGTACAACTATATACAGTGGAGATCACTTCTAACCTCTCATCAAATCTGTCAGAATCTGTCAGTAGGACAGTATGTAGAACTGTCATCCTGACACCTTTTAGACAGTTCCAGCTAGAACAGTTCTAACCTAGAACTGATTTGGTCAGTTCTACCTAGAACTGATTTAGACAGTTCTACCTAGATCTGATCCTGACAGTTCTACACTAGAACAGTTTTAGACAGTTCTACCTAGAACTGACCAAATATTTAGTCAGTTCTACTACTAGAACAGTTCTACGGCTAGAACAGTTCTACGACTAGAACAGTTCTACGATTAGAACTGATTTGGTCAGTTCTACGGCTAGAATTGAGTTAGTCAGTTCTATCCATAGAACAGTTTTAAGAACTCTTTGTCTTAAATATAAATAAGTCAAAAGAATATAATATATATTAAACAATTCTCATCACAGCACTGTTTTAACATTTCTCTAACTGCAGTGACGTCATTTAGAACTGTTCTACGGTTAGAACTGATTTAGTCAGTTCTGCTGACAGTTCTACGACTAGAACTGATTTGGACAGTTCTACCTAGAACAGTTTTAGACAGTTCTACTCTAGAACTGATTTGGTCAGTTCTACCTAGAACTGATTTGGTCAGTTCTACCTAGAACTGATTTGGTCGGTTCTACCTAGAACTGATTCTGACAGTTCTACTTAGAACAGTTCTAGGGTAGAACTGTTCTAGGTAGAACTGTTCTCGGACAGTTTAGAACAGTTCTATGACAGATTATTCTGACAGTTCTAATGAGAGGTTAGAAGTGATCTCCACTGTATATAGTGAGAGTATATGTTTTACCTTTCAGAATGGACACTATTAAGTTATAGATATTTTGTTACAGATTATTGTAACCTGTCAAGCGTCCAAAATGTTTGCCGGAAGATCAGTCCTTACTAAATTTCTTAGCAGGTTAGTATTTTTATTAGTACATTCCATACATCAACCTTTGGAAGTCGGTTTTTATATCAGAAATCAATCAGTTTTCACAGGATACAGACTTGCTCGGATTTTTTTTACAAGAGAACTTCGCCTTTAAAGTGACCACACATTTCAAGTTCAAGAAAATCAGACTTTCCTTCAAAATGAATTATTCAGGTAAATATGTATTAAGATTTCCATATTTTAGCTACATGTCCACTATCGTTAGTGATCGTATCATAAATGATACATGATGTAAGCTACATTTTAATCGCTCAAGGGTCAATATTATATTTTATTGCTTTTGTCTATTGCTCAGTGACTATGATAATTGTTTCAACTGTATTTGATTGATAGAGTCAATGTAAAATGAACGTTTTTTTTTATGCCCCCGCCGTTGCGGAGGGGGCATTAAGTTTTACCCTTGTCCGTCTGTACGCACGTACGTACGTCCGTCCGTACGTCCCAAAATTGGTTTCCGTTCTCTAACTTGAGTTTGCCTCAACCAAATGTTATGAAACTTATACACAATGCTTATTACCACAAAACACAGATCAAATTTGAATTTTGGTGGCGTCACTTTAGCCGTTCTAGAGTTATGCCCCTTTATAAATGGAAAAATTGCAAAAGTTTTAGTTTCCGTTCTCTAACTTAAGTTTGCCTCAACCAAATATTATGAAACTTATACACAATGCTTATTACCACAAAACACAGATCGAGTTTGAATTTTGATGGCGTCACTTTAACCGTTCTAGAGTTATGCCCTTTATAAATGGAAAAATTGCAAAATTTTTATTTTCTTCTAAATATCAAGTAATTTTTAAAGTTGGAGTCATCTTCCTTTGTCCATGATTATAGTTGAATCAACTACAATCAATGTTTTATACAATGCAATGTTTAATTTTGACTTCTACTGATAAAACACAGATCAAGTTGAATTTTGGTAGTGTCACTTTAACCATTATTAAGTTATGCCCCTTTATAAATCGAAAGATTGCAAAATTTTTAGTTTCCATTCTGTAACTTAAGTTTACCCCAACCAAACATTATGAAACCTATACACAATATTCATAACCACAAAACTAAGATCAAGTACAAATTTTTTGTTTCCGTTTTCTAACTTTAGTTTGCCTCAACCAAATGTTATGAAACTTATAGACAATGATTATTACTACATAATACAGATTAAGTACGAAATTTGGTGGCGACACTTTTACCATTCTTGAGTTATGTCCCTTTATAAACATAAAAATTGCTGAATTTTTCGTTTCCGTTCTCTAACTTTAGTTTGTTTCAACCAAATGTTATAAAACTTATACACAACCGTTCTAGATTTATGCGTGTTTACAAATAGAAAAATTGCTGAATTTTTATTTGTTCTTAGTACCGATCTGCTGAGTCAATATAGAAACAAAAAGATGTGGTATGATTGCCAATGAGACCACTCTCCACAAGAAACCAAATGACATGAGTTAAAAACTATAGGTCACCCTACGACCTTCAACAATGAGCAAAACCAATACCACATAGTAAGCTAAAAAAGGCCCCGAACTGAAAAATGTAAAACAATTCAGACGAGAAAACTAAAGGCCTGATTTAGGTACAAAACAATAAACGAAAACCATATATGATATTACAGCAACAAACGACAATCTCCGAATAACGGGCTCCTGGCTTGAGACATAAAACCCTTACAATAAAACAAAAGACACAGATCTTAGAGTACTCTCAGTTACTGAAAGCTAGTTCAAAGCCAATAACAATTAATAAAAAAGCATGTGTCTAAGACTAAAATTTCAATCCTATGGATTAAGTTTAAAGACGTCATTAACAGTCAGAGAGGAATATGACCTTGTGCATTGCCAAAATATAGGTATCGATAGATTGTAAAACAAACCGGGAATGTGCATATGTGAATAACAATAAAATTAAGTTAGGATTTAATTTATTGATAACAAAATCAATATTTGTACCGATAAAACAATATTCAAAGATCTGATTACAGCTTTGAATTTGTAATCTTTTAGAATATATTTTTTTAAAGGGGCACTAGCTATGAGATTTATAAAAAAACTAAGGTATGATTTTTTTTGTTCAATCATTAATGAAAGTGAAATAATGAAATAATAATTCGCTTTTAGCAGCCAGTATGGTTCAATTTTGTCAAATTAAGCTAAGAAACCTTGATGATGAATTATTCACTTGCAAGTGAATAATTCGACCTCATTGAATCCTTATTCAATTTAACCCCTTAGCTAGAGATGGATAACGCATGCATTGTGCGTGTTCGGTTATTTAAAGGAAAAGAATGTCAACATTGAAAGTGAAACAAAAGTAAATCATTTGATTGACTGATTCGATCCACAAAAATCGTTCTTATACAGATAAAAAAGACGATAAACATATATTTTTAATCTTTAATATGAAATTAAACAGACCTAGCAAAATCCAATTGCAAGAGTTTCGCTTTCTATTTATATCTATATTTATGTTTATATCGCTTATATGACCATCGGAGGTTTCCGGAGGTCAACTCGATAGTTAATTAGATGGCGTCAAGACTAAAATACACACGAAACGAAGCTACATATTATCGAGCCCATGCCCTGTAAATTGTTTATTTTAGACTTTTTATAATTTGGATAAATGTTTTACATGGTTATAAATCAAATATGAGAATATGAGTCAAATCGGTGAACATGAATTTGACAGCTAGTGCCCCTTTAAAGGATCGATAAGTTTACCCAGATCGTATCTAAATTTGCGGGCTCGGTAAACAACATCACTGAAAAAATTAGGATGTGCTATCCCGTTTGTAATAAGTCTCCTACAGGTACAACCAAAATTCCAAACTAAATCTTTGAATCTATGGAAGAACTTAGTAAAAGTTTTAAGTAATTTGTGGTAAGGTAATCCTTGATTCAATAATTTACCAGTACTACATAGATTATGCTCCTTGAAATCCATAACGTCACTACACACACGGACATAGCGGACGAGCTGTGGTATATAAACACCGCAAGATGGTGCCAAAAGGACATCATCGCCCCAAAAGGAAAATTAACAATAGGTAATGAAAAATCATCCCTTTTGTCATAGATTTTTGTGTAGAGTTTCCCGTGTAAAACTGAAATATCTAAATTTAGGAAAAGACAGTTATTACCGTTTATATTCGATTTATTTAAAGTAAGTTCCTTTGGATAATTTTCAGTAGTATATTTAGAAAATCCTTGACTATTTAACGAAAACATATCATCAAGATAACGGATTTGAATGTAGAAGAGTTTATAATTTCCGTGTAGTATTTACGTCATACCAATACCACATTGTTGGCTGCTTTGTCGACCGGTCGGAAAAGTGTGTTTCTTATTCTAGTGACAGGCGTGTTATTATGTATAGTTTTATTTATTTCTAAATTATTTTTAAAATGTGATATTCAAATATCCACAATATTCATACATTTTATTTTTATAAGAATCAAGATTCATTAATTAACATGAGCCGTTTTCCTGATTCATGTCAGTTGTTTTAATGGTGTCATTGATGTGAATATTTTAATAAAAGTTGTCGCTTATCTGTTACTGCCTTGCATTATCCTTGTTTCAAACACTGGAAATAGAAAAACAAAAAACAAAAACGTGTTGATGTTTTTGTTGCTCAATCATTAGTTATCTGTAAAGTTTTTTGTGGATTTCTGTGTCTTTTCGTCGTTTTCTTTATGCCCATTGTGTTGTCTGTTTTTATTCGACTACTATTTATTGATTGTATCTTTTGTACGTTCTACCTCTTTATGTTTATCTAATATGTACCCCTCAAAGTACTACTCGGTATTTTATAACAATTTATTATTCGCTTGTTTGTTTGGTTGGTTGGTTGTGGTTGTTTTGCAATTTTTGTAATTACATCGCATGCTGCTCAGTTACAGTCAAATATTTAAAGTGTTTCAAACCACTTTATTTGTTACAGGTGTGTAAATGCAGCTTCTCTCAACGTTGGAAAACTTGAAAGCCATTTGAAATTCTCTTCATCTGCTAAAAAGATGTTCAGGTATTCAGAACTATCTTCGTCAGCTGTAGAGACAGATAGTCAATCAAAATTCCAGTTATCCAGTGTAAAATCTAATACCCAAACAAAAGTATGGAGACAACTCGGTAATCTCGAAACGCTGTTCTATAAAGATTTAAAGTTCATTCAAGGCATGTTTATGCTGTCTTGCAAGAATACAGTTGATGTGAATCAGATACGTTCGGCTTTCGAAATATTAACATCGAGTCACCCACTGATGCGCATGTCTGTACAAGAACGAGACACTGTACTTTATTTTGTTGAGGTTGAAAATATGTCAACAGAGATACGTATTGAAAACAATAATGACTATGAGGCTGTTATGGGAGATGAGTATACTAGTTTGCAGTCAGCCAGTACTAGACGGTTGTGGATGTTTACATGGCTTAAACCACTGCAAAATACAGAAGATAATACTTTTCGTTTTATATTTTCAATAAATCACTGTATAGCCGATTTTCAATACTACTATCTGATTCTTGTTGATTTCTTGGAAATTATGAAAGATCTACAGAATGGTTCAGATGCTGTTCAACAAAGATCAAAGTTCACTTATCATCCACCAATAGAACAGATTCTTACATATCCAGAAGATAGGAGGATCATTGGAAATAATTCAACCAAAACTTTTAATAACATTACGTCATTGCAAGCTTATGAGAATTATTTTAAACAAGAAATAGCACATTTGGCAAAAGCCAAAAGAATATTTGCTGCCAGCTGCCGTAGAAAATTGGATCTCGAAACTTCTCACAGATTTATTTCAAAATGCAAGACCGAATCCGTATCAGTCACATCAGCAATGTTGGCAGCGAGTGTCATTTCCTTTTGTAAACTTCTGAGAATGAAAGGATGTCGGGATACTGTTACAGTACAGCTCGTATTTGCAGTCGATCTACGTAAATACATTAACAACAGTGTAGAATTTTATGCGGGTATGGCTGTAGTGTTGTGTCCTGTTGTAGTAGATATGGATGTCTCTTTGGTTGAGTCGGTAGGGGATGGATTTTGGAAATTTTCTAGATGCGTTAAAGGTCAAGTCTCAGATACCATTAAGAACAGAAAACCATTGGATATTCTATATGGAGACATTGAAACCTATGTGAAAAATGGAAGAAAACGCGGGAAGTCCGATTGTGTTATTACATTATCTAATATCGAAAACGTAGGTCTGGAATTGGAACAGAATGACAATTTTCAATTGATAGATTTCCAGATGATATCGGATATAAGAATTGATTATTGTCCAATATTTATGATGTTGACACACGTGTTCAACGGAATCTTACATCTTGGCGTCGCATATGAATCGTCTTATACATCATCAGAGACTGTAGAAAGATTTACAGATGAAATCCAAAAAGTTTTAATCAAAAGTATTCATTGAAAAATACATCTTCGCTAGCCAAGGGTTACGATCCACTTCCCTCCTCTCCAAAATATAACAGAAATAGATACTGACAGTGTTTAATCTGCAATCAAAGTTAACTATCTTTTTTAAGTACAGCATGATGTTTTCAAGGAAAGTTTTAGCCATGTGGATAATTGTTCAATCCATCAGAACAAACGATGAACTAAATAATTTGTACGCTGTCGAATCTTAATGTTCAAGATTGTAAAGCGGTCTGTTAAAAATATAAATTAGTAGTTCTTATTGTTTCCTTTTATATACTAGTATTATCTAACTACATGTCCCAGTGGCGGATCCAGAAGGGGGGTGGGGTTCCGGGGGTTGGACCCCCCCCCCTTTTTTTTGGACGATCAATGCATTTGAATGGGAACATATAGTTGGAACCCCCCCTTTATCCTGGGTTAGGAACCCCCCCTTTTATAAATAGCTGGATCCGCCCCTGTGTCAACAAGTAGACGCTAAGATTTACTCCCCTAACCGGGCATGTGTTACAAATACATGCTCGAGAGCCTTGATATACAGAAACCCTCTTTAAGCTCTCATATGTGAGCTATTGCTATCACTTGGCGTCCGTTATTGATCGTCGTATGTAAATTTTTACAAATACCTTCGCCTCTAAAATAATTGTGCCAATTTTGGTTAAATTTGACACTCACCATTGGTGTATATAGTTTAAAATGATTTGATAGAACATTGGGATAAAATGCATGTATTGTCTTCTATCTTTAAAACGGTATAGATGAAGAAAATTTGACAGGGGCAAACATGTTCAGAATGACAGGAATTACTTACATGATTATGACCAAAATTGCCAGACAACTCCTTGTAGTTAATAGATTGAAAGACACTTTAGGTAGCATAAATGACCAGCAAGACAAGATCTACAAATAAGTTACCCTTCCAGAGCACTTGTGTTAACTATCGGTTTTTAGTGGGTTTGTGTTGCTCAATCTTTTACTTTTTCATACAGTGTAGTGATTTGTGAACTTGTTCTTCGTTTCGTCGTTTTATGTTTTTTTTTTTTGCTATGGCGTTATTAGTTTTTCTTGACTTGTGATATTTGAATGTTCCCTTGGTATCTTCCGTCTCTTTTTTTTTTAGGTAGTTGGAATCACTAGTCGACCCCCTGATAGGAATTGCTTCGCTTGAATAATGATTTTTTCCATTTTGTTTTCTTTTTTATTTGATAGACAGAGAGAAACTGTAAACAGTAAGAATGATCAACAAGACAAGATCTACAAACACACATAATTAATTAATAAAGCCGAAATTATAAGTCGACGCCTTATAGGAGTGATTACCTGTTAAAGGTTATTAAAAAAAGAGAATTATGTCATGTCCTTATTTTTTAGTCAATAATGTTGTAGAGTGACATAGTTCAAGGTGCGCGACACAGGATCTTAAGAGCCTTTATTCGTAACTGGGACCTTTATCTTTGACATTTTCACATCGAAATTATCAGGTTTCGTGTCTTTCTTTCTATCTAAAACTTGCAAAAATCAAACAAGTAATCATCCGAAACAAAGTACTACTCATATTTCTATATTCTCAAGCTATTTTTGCAGCTTTAATTTAGACATTTAACTTTATAATCTACAGGATTCATCTTTTGCTCCTTTTCCAGACAGGCAAGTTTCATTTGTTAACCAACAAAAGAAATTCTTGTATTTTGATCTGCCCACATTGTACATAGCTCTATGATCACAACTCAATCGCAACAATGAAGCTTTCAGTTGAATTAACTGAGCTGCTTAGGCGCATAGCAATTGACTTGGTATCTCAAAGTCAATTCCAAACTATATCAGTCAAACCGACATGGAATCAGGTTGAGAAACCCAAGCAAAAAGAGAAAAACAACCTAACAAGGCCCTGAATAAAAAGAAACCGACACTTTCTGCAATGTAAAGAAACGCTCAGCGTCTCGTCCATTGGAAAAAAGAACAGAAATATGATGCTGTACGCTCATCAGAAGCCAGAACTGCCACAACAACCATTGAAATGGTAGGTTCAGCAATACAAAGAGCAGCATGAAAAGCAGGTAGAACAATCACCAGAAAAAAATTAAAGCCAACAAGGTTGTTACTGGCTTTGATCTAGTTTATAGTAACTGCGAATAATCTCAGATAGGTACTATATGTATTTAAGTCTTTATTTTAGTTGTTTTTTGTTTTTGCGTGCTTTCATCGATATGATGAGTCTAGAAGATTTGATGAGTCTAGAAGCTTTTTGCAACTGAATTTGATAGTTTGTTCTTATGTTGTGCTGTTACACCACTGCCCCAGGTTAGTACGATGGGTTTGGCGCCCACAACATGTTTAACCCTGCCACATTCTGTTTGTGTCTGTTCGAAGTCAGGAGCCTGTCATTCAGTGGTTGTCGTTTGTTGCTGTATAACATATTTGTTTTTCATTTATTATTTTATACATACATTGGGCAGTTAGTTTTCTCGTTTGAATTGTTTTACATTTGTCATTTCGGGGCTTTTGTATAGCTTGCTATGCAATATTGGTTTTTGCTCATGATTGAAGGCCTGCTGTGACCTATAGTTGCTAACTTTTACGTCATTTTGTCTCTTGTGGAAAGTTATCTAATTTACAATCATTCCATATCTTTATATTATTATAACCATGTCTACGTAATACCAAAAAAGATGTTCGATGCGATGTAACGCCGACGAAATATCAGAAGAAAAGCAAAATGAAAGAAAGTACTAGAATGCAATTAGTAGACAGTCCGTTCATACCATAGAGCAAATGTGTAGAAATACGTTACAACGATGGTTCAACAAAGTATTCTGAAGTTTCTGACATTGATGATGCAAGATTCACACGTAGATTAGGATTTTTGTGGGTAAAATCCTTGTTCATGAAATATTTACACTTACCTGCCTCCTTAACTAATTTGCAATTTCCCTCTACTTCCCCATACGTTCGTCGAGTTTTTTATTATAAATACGGTAATACCTCCAGTTATCTCCCTTGCGTAACTCTTCAGTTTCTCGAGACCAATATTAAGTAATTCCTCGAGAGGGGAGGAGGGCGTGTGAGGCAGGTAAGTGTAAATATTTCATGAACAATGATTTTACCCACAAAAATCCTAGTTCACTTCAATATTTCCACTTACCTGCCTCCTTAACTAATTGCAAAAGAATTTGCAGCCCTACTAAAGGAGGTGGGAAAGGAATTCAATAAGGAATAAAAAAAAATATATTCACCTATTTCTGTCTTCCTCTCTTGAAAGAATCCAAAATTGCTGACTTGGCAAAAATGGACTGGTGGTCTGGAACATCCTTCAGATAGAATGAAGTGAAAGTAGTTTCAGATGTCCAGTGAGCTGCTTTTAAAATTTCTTCAGCTGATACACCACAAAATAAAGCCCATGAAGTAGAGAGTCTTCTTGTATCATGTGCTCTTACTGTTTTTAGTGTGTCTGTATCTGCATTTTCATATGCATATCGCACTGTATTAACAATCCATCTTGCAATAGAATCCTTTGAAGCTTCTTTATGATGGTTTTTCTGATAAGTAACAATCAGTCTGTTTGATTTCCTTATACATTTTGTTCTATTAATGTAAATCCTTAATGCACGAGAAGGGCATAGTTTCAAATCCTCAGAATCAGCTGCATAAGAATTAAATGAAGGAATGAATAATGGCTCCGAAGGCCTATTCAAAGTCTGCGTTTTTGCAAGAAACTGCATATTTGGTAATAGTTTAATTCCATTTTTTTCAAATCTAAAATGTCCATCATCTAATGATAAGCTATGAATTTCACTAACTCTACTGGCTGGTGCAATAGCTACTAGAAAAGCTGTTTTGAATGTTAAAAACTTGAATTCAACTGAATCTAAAGGTTCAAAAGGATGTTTTGTTAGCATCAATAAAACTAAAGGTAAATTCCAATTTGGGGTCAATTGACGAATTGGTGGATTCATATTAAATAATCCTTTAATCAATGAAGATAACTCAGAACTGTTTGAGATTTCGAATCCATTATTATGAATCAATGCTATGGCTGACTTGTAACCTGTAATAGTCTGTGGTTTGCATTTACTTACAGTAGAAAGATATAACAAAAATTCTGCTACTTCTGGTATAGTTGAAGAAGTGGAATTGATATTGTGTTCTTTACACCAACTGTCATATATTCTGAGTCTTGCATCATACACTGTTTGAGTAGATTTTTTTCTGGCATTTGCCATAATTTCTGCAGTTTGTTCAGAAAATCCTTTTGACTTATGGCGCAATTTGATAATTTCTATGCCACAAGATTTAATGTTTCTGAACTCTGATGAAATAATTGTATTTGATTGTGAATTTGTGAAAGCAGATCTGGCAAAAGAGGTACTAGTAGTTTTATTGGAATATCTATCAGTAGATCCAACATCTGAGGATACCAAGATTGTCTCGGCCACATTGGTGCTATTAGAAGAACAACAATTCTTCTCGAATCTTTTGTAATATCCGAAGAACAAGGTTTGATTGATTGATTATTGTTTAGCACAGAAAGGCTATATCGCGGCGAGAGCTAATTCGAATATTATAACAATTTAAGGTATATTTTTAAAATCAGACAAAAGGTCTTTCAATAAACTAAAATTCTAGACTAAAGCAAATTGATTATTTACAAATAAAAATCAACACTAAGATAACGTGATAAAAATTAAAATCGTTTTAAATAAAGCAACATTTTTTATATTTTATAATATATTCCAATTTCTTTTAAGAATGAAACAATATTTGTAAATGGAACAAGGATTGGAGGAGGAAATGCATATGCATACATGCCGCTCCAATTTACAGTCAGAGCATCTACTTGAAATGCTGCTATGCCTGGAACCGGAGAGCAATAAGCTGCCAACTTTTTGTTTTGAGCTGTTGCAAACAGATCTATACTTGGAATTCCCAGTTACTGAAATATCATATTTACTATCATAGTGTTGAGTGTCATCTCTGTCATCTTGAAAAGATTTTTTTCCCTCGAAAGAGCATCTGCTAGTAGATTTATCTTTCCCGGATGTGAACTGCACGGATAGTTACATTGTTCTGAATACACCATTGGTAAAGATCCCAAGTTAGTAAACAGTTCTGGCGAATGGGTTGCGCCCTGCTTGTTGATATAACTTATCACTGTTGTATTGTCCGACCTTATCAAAATATTCTTGTCTTTCACTATATGTACAGCTTCTAGAAGAGCTAACTGTACAGCCTTCAATTCCAACCAACTTATATGCTTTAGT